AGAGAGAGAGAGAGAGAGAGAGAGAGAGAGAGAGAGAGAGAGAGAGAGAGAGAGAGAGAGAGAGAGAGAGAGAGAGAGAGAGAGAGAGATGTGAACAGTGCTCCCTCTTACCTGCTAAGCCCCAGGGATTCAGAAAACGACAGATCCATGGAAAGGGCAATATCTCATTATATTATTATATATGTACGTACCTCTTCATAACGATTCAAGCCCATTAGAGCTGCCCCAACTCTGGAGTAGCCCTTTGGCCAATCTGGTTTCAAAGACAGCGTCTGCAATCCCAAGAGACAGGTAGCCACATATCAACATCATACACCAGACAGAAAATATAGATGGATTCACACAATTTCACAGATTTCTGATTGTTCACAAAGTAGGCTGAAAGAGAGACACAAGGCTGGATGAACACCGAGAGGGGTGGATGGGACAATAAAATCTTCAATCTACACTGTACAGTGAAATAGAAAACCTTAAACACGACGCAAGGCAAGGCAGCTAACGTAGAGACAGACAGATGGACGCGGGGACGGACAAGCAGCCTGAGGCAGCGATGTGGATGGATAAAGCAACGGTAGTAGAGGTGAATGGATTACGTAATGAACAAGTCACTTTTGCATCCATTTAATCTGTTGTTTTGTTTTCGTTTCTTGTTGTTCTTTCTTTTTTCTTAAGTTATTTAAACTTATTATTTTTTTACTATTTTTTTATTATTTTTAATCGGCGCTTGGGAGCTGCTGACTCTTGTATCAAAAATTTTAATTTATTTTAATTTATTTTAATTTATTTTAATTTATTTTAATTTATTTTAAATAATTTATTTCTAACCTACCAGAGTGGCCCCGGGCCACTTGTGTGGCCGTGCCAAAAAACGATTTAAAATTAAAAAAAAAAAAAAAAAAAAGCATCTGAGTGAGGATGCCGGCCGGCCGGGTAAACCGGGCGGGCCACAAAAACGCCCATAATTTTTTTATTTTATTTTTTGGAACCGGGGTCGTTCTGCGCTCGGCGAGAGGACTGCAATGAACCCAGATCGTGAAGACACTTGTCAACAATGTAAGCCCAGGATCTCAAGCTGCTGATGATTACCAATAATCAAAATCGTGTCCAGACAGAATGAGATGAGATAATCATACACAGACGAAGGAGAGAGGAGGGAGATTAG